CCATGAGAGGAATTGTTCCCTTCGGCGGCCCCTGTTTCTCTTCATCGTACGGCTCGAGCCAACCGTTTTCCACCCACTGTTTCAGCTCCTCTTCATATTCCTCACGGCTCTCTGGCGGTATTTTATACTCCGACACGGTGTCCCTCAGCGCCTCAGGTGCCGAGCCATCCGCCCACTTCCAGCTCATAGTCCACTTCTTATCCTTTTCATCGTAACTTGCTTGAAAATCTGCCTCATCAACATGCACTTTCACACGGCTCTCATTCCCACTCAGACCAGTTTCCATGTTTGTCTGTTCCGGGTTCATCACTCCTTGTTTCAACGGTTCCGATTCTGTCAGCTCTGGTTCTGTCGGTTCTGGTTTTGTCAGTTGAACGGCAGCACAGTTGAGCTCACCTCCGAACTGCACTTGACTGGAGTTTACCAGCGTAACTCCTCCCAATGCCTCAATGCCGTCCATGCCAAGCACAAGATCAAAACCCAATGGCTTCTCCATCACCACTAGGACATCAAGATCAGCAGCAGCACCGTTCGGAAGACACACTCGAATAGGTCCACTGCCGTCACATTGGTACCGTTCGCCGCTTACAGTTCTCACATTGATTCTTCTCTTGGTCCAGCCGGGACAGAAGGACTGATCAACAATACTGCGGGAACATCCAGAGTCGACCAGCGCCAAGCCGCTGGTGCCATTGACCTCTAATTGTCTTGTAGGGAGGGCGCCGCTTAGCGCGGAGAGGAGGCTGGCGCTGACGTCTCCCCTCCCTGCCTGTTTTCCGGACAGTGAGCCATCGTGTGACCCGACTTCTGACACCGGAAGCAGACTACCTGTCGGCAGAGGCGTGCGATATGCCCCTCTTCTCCACATCGGTAGCACTTCACTGGCCCACGAGTCTCACCACGCTGGCGCTTGTCGCTAGTAGCACCACGCCAAGTCTGACGAGTCTGAACCGCCGCGGCGGTGTCGCAGTCGTCCGCCAGCAGCGCCCGCGCACGGCCGAGCACTTCACTCAGGGTTAGCGACTCGATACGGGTCCCAGCTCTCATAGTCTGACGCACAGAGTCCGGCAGACCGGCCACAAAGGCACATATCAGACCAGTATCAGGGATTCCTCCGAACAACAGAGCTAGCCGTTTAAGCTCAGAAAGATAGACATCGACGGACTCACCAGCACGGAGTCTCCTGGAGATGAACTGGTCATAAGCCGTGAACTTGTCAGCTGCGAATGCCGTTCGCAGCGCCTCTTTTATCCGACTCGCATCGGCCTTGTCCTCTTCACTGAGCTGCTGGTAAACGTTAAATGCGCCACCAGTTAGACGAAGCGGAATAACGTTTTCCAACTCTGTCACTGACCTCAGTCTGCAGGTGAGTTCCACTTTTTCCAGCCACTCGAGCACTGGTTGTCTTCCATCGAATTCTGGGATGATCCTCAAATCGAAAGTATTTGTGTCCATTTTGAAGCGAGCCGAAATAGCTTGTATTGTACTAGAAAGAGATCGAATAAAAGTAAAGCGTTTATCGATTTCAACTCAATACGAAATCCGCCATGAACTCAACAATTACGCTTCTACAATTGCTTCACTCCACTCCATATCAATAAATCCACTTTCCTTCGTTCCTCTACGGCTCCCCCCTCGCCGCCGCGCTGCTGCCCCAAATTGCCGTTCTTGCATTTTTGAATCACGCGGCATATGACATGTGCATATTCACTCCGGCACCTCATAATTAGTGAATGACCTAAATCATGTAGGCACTTCTAATTACTAACATAGTTTGATAATAGAAATAACTCCACAAGAATAGGACCCTAAAAGACCGGCATGGGCCGGTGTTGGACCCCAGAGGCCAGCGGAGGGTCCTCAAAGGCCAAGATGGGCCCTCAGACGCCGATGCGGGCCCTGAGCGGCCGGCATCGGGTCTTCAGAAGCCCGTGCGGGCCCTCAGAGACTAAGGTGGGTCCTTACAGGCCAGCACGGGCCCTCAGAGGTCAGCGTGGGGCCCTAAAAGACTGGCATTGGCCGGTGTTGGACCCCAGAGGCCAGCAGAGGGCCCTCAAAAGCCAAGATGGGCCCTCAGAGGATGATGAGGGCCCTTAGATGCCGGCATCGGGTCTTCAGAATACAGTGCGGGGCCCACAAAGGCTAATGTGTGTCCTTACAGACCAGCATGGGGCCCTCAGAGGTCAGTGTGGGGCCCTAAAAGACCGGCATGGGCCGGCGTTGAACCCCAGAGGCCAGCGGAGGGCCCTCAAAGGCCAAGCCATGGGCCCTCAGACGCTGATGCGGGCCCTGAGCGGCCGGCATTGGGTCTTCAGAATCCAGTGCGGGGGCCCTCAGAGGCTAATGTGGGTCCTTACAGGCCAGCATGGGGCCCTCAGAGGTCAGTGTGGAGCCCTAAAGGGCCGGCATGGGCCGGCGTTGGACACCAGAGACCAGCGGCGGAGGGCCCTCAAAGGCCAAGATGGGCCCCCAGAGGCCGATGCGGGCTCTTAAAGGCCGGCATCGGGTCTTCAGGATCCAGTGCGGGGGCCCTCAGAGGCTAATGTGGGTCCTTACAGGCCAGCCAGCATGGGGCCCTCAGAGGTCAGTGTGGGGCCCTAAAAGGCCGGCATGGGCCGGCGTTGGACACCAGAGACCAGCGGAGGGCCCTCAAAGGCCAAGATGGGCCCCCAGAGGCCGATGCGGGCTCTTAGAGGCCGGCATCGGGTCTTCAGAATCCAGTGCGGGGCCCTCAGAGACACTTAAAGTCTAGTCTTGGGACTCGAGAGACAGAAATGAGGCCACCAGAGGCCGGTGTGAGGCTCTCAGACGCCGGTTGGGCCCTTGAGGCCGGTTTAGGGGCCCTCAAAGGCCAGTGGAGGGCCCTCAGAGGTCAATGTGGGTCCTCAGCGGTCAATGTGGACGCTTGACCGCCACTGAAAGGCCCTCAGAGGTCAGTGTAGGACCCTCAAAGACTGGTATGGGAGCTGTTAATAGCTGGCGTGGGTTTCTCGAGCCTCGTGACAATCGAATACGGGCCAGGGCCCCATACGGCCATGGGGGCCCATCGGTTGTTTGGGGGGGGCCAAATGATATGATGGCCCCCCTGATTTGGCTTTGGGGGGGGGGCCATGGCCCTGATGGCCCCCCCCCCTGCGACCGCCACTGCAAGCTACTCAGAACAAGCCTTGAGCGGATGGAATTGTTGCTAACGAGAGGCTCTTACCTCCCAGAAATGACCGGTATGGGCTGGTTACTCTCGGCCGTGACCGACGTTGGCAACCGGGCTTACGAACTCTGCGATAAGCGAGATATGACTTATCCTTAGTTCACGACGCCGATTCGCCGTGCTACCTGAGTGTGCAGTGCTCACCGCCACTGGCTACCAATTTACATTGAGATGTGAATACCAGTGGGCACTGCCAAGCCGCGGAGGGTGTATAAGACGTTCGGTGATGTCCAGATGGAAGCAGGAACTGAGGATTGTTTGTCCCGCTGTCTCTGAATCCGATTTGTTTCCGGAGACGATCTGTCGACTGTAGTGTGTGCTGCACTCTGTCACAGTCAGTTACGACACCGGTTGAATATGAGCGAACGCACAGATTTGTCGGGAAGATGAAGGGCGGCCGGGCGGCGCCCTGGAGAGGACAGTGGCAGTGCACCGGCCGACATTCGGCCCGCACGGGGTCGACGTATAAACAGGTTACAACACACTGGACCGGCGAGTGCGCAGTCCAGTGAAACGGTGCGGCAGTGTGTTTCTGGGGTGAGTTGGGTTGTCCTAACCGTGTAGGAACTAGGAAGGTCGGAACTAAAGCACGAAGCGGTGAATAATGCGACTAGGTGGGGCTGTCAAAGAGATTCCATCGTTCGCTGCACGGGTGACTAATGAACCTTGAGTTCACCGGAATACAATGCTAGTGAGTCGAACTGATTGTATGAGCACATCGCAGTGTGCTCTGTACGCACATCGTGAATGTACTTACCTATATGCGGCTGCATACAATGCGGGTGACCTCACTCGCTCTCTAACGTTTGCGCAGTCAGTAGCGGGGTTACGCGGTCTGAATCGGCACAAAAGTGCCCTTTTCTGTCTATCTGTGTGGTTTGTTTTGACACATTTGATTTGGGAGAATGTGCTTGCGATGCACAAAAGGTCTGTATCATCTGTGACCGGTGGGTCCTGTTTGTCGGTCAGTGGGTGAGTGATGCTGCCGCACGTTACCATTACCTTCTGATGATCCATACGTTCGGATATGTATTGAAGGCAAAATACTCTGTTATAGGTAGTTTCAGAATTGTGAACTTGCAAGCATAGGCACGGGGACCGGGGGGGGGGGCAATGGGGGCAGCCTGCCCTCCAGCTCTGGGGCCGTGGGGGCGATGCCCCCACAACTTTGAGAGTGAGACGGAATATCACACTTTTTTTTGCAAATGTTTTCTTTTTTGTTGAAAAAGCCAAGGGGTGAAAAACAAGTGGCCGAAAACCGGTGAGAACACTATATTTGGGGGTACCCTAGGTTGATCTCAATTAGGTATGGTGTGCCCCCCCCCCCACTCTGAAAGTAGTTCCCGCGCCCCTGATTGCAAGCCCTTGAACACCGCACGGAGTGACAAGCGGTTGGGATGGGTTGGCACCGCGACTAATGATTCCGTGTGAACCATGACGCCGCGAAAGTTATGACCAGGCGGCACCTCGTTTGTGCCCGTCACCCTTTCCATCCTCTCAGCGAATCACCCATTCTGTGTGGCAGTCACTCTTTCCACCCTAACTCACTTAAACCACTGCCGCCTGTGCGACCATCGCCCACCCCAGTAAACCACCCCCTCTGTGTGACCGTCCGACCCATAAATCGCCGCCGTCCTTGGACCGGCTCGGCGTTTTTGTCACACCCCTTTCCCGGCAGGCGGTGGGCTCGTCCCGGCTCGGCTGTGACTGCCGCGCCGAGCGCCGTGCCTGCCCATTGCCCGGCCGTGACGCCCGCCGTTTTTACACCCCGGCTCGTCTGTGTGACCGACAGGTGGGAGGAGGCTCGGAGTGGCGCGCCGGTGCCAAGGACGCCGCCAAGAAACTCCGTCGAAAGAAGAAATCGGACGGCGCCGACACCGAGACCGGCCTCAGGGTAGGAACACCGCCCCGCGCGCGCCATTCTTTGGCGCCTTTCTGATGTAAAGTAACGCTAACACCCGCCACCAGAGTCCGGTCAGGTCCCGCCCGGGTGGGTGGTGGGCGGGGCGGGGTTTCCTTCTTTCAGGAGCGACCTTTTCAGGTGGTGGGCGAATACGCCGGAGGAGGAGGAGGCTGTACCAGCAGGGCCAATAATTGGCCGCTGATTGACGGCCGTCCACGACAGCCGGCCGAGCGACACCGAACTGGAGACAGCCGCTCTAAACACAGAGCCTCGAGCTCCGAGTTCAGTGCGGAACTCAGAGACAGCTCTGAAACAGCTCTACGAAGGTTGGAGCTGTGTACTGTGCTATACCCTACGCAACTGTGCACCGTCTTCAGTAATCAGTACAGCATCTATGATAGGTGTTCCTAAATCCTAATGCCCTCACTGTCAGGTCTACTTTGTATGTTTCGTCTTATGTTTGTCATGTCCGATTTCACCGTCCTTCTATGGTTCCCTTTTTCCGTTGCTCATCCATTTTTCTCTCATGCTCTTCACTCCCCTCTGTTCCCCTCACGTCTCTTATTAACCTTCTCCTTCGTCAATCTCTTGCCCACTGCAGTTCACAGTTCTCGTTGCTCTCCGTAGCTTCTCGCAGCTCTTAGGTGGCAGCTCTCCGCCGCTGAGATCGGTCCCGGATAATCCGAGCCGGTCTTTGCCAACCACCGGAGGCTGTTCGGTTCAAAGTCCCAGTCGGAGCGGTTCGGTGGTCTCACCTGACCGCGTTCGGCTGCCGGTGACCGGATGCCTACGCGATCAGGAAAGCGCCAATCACGGCTCCGTTTTCACGGCTTTCCCTCAAGAAGGGCGTGCCCTTTGACGTTCTATCTCGGACAATGAGGCGTGAAGATCTAGTTATGCACTTTCTCTGTTATTCTACTTTCGATTCGCTATTTATTCAGAGCTTCCCGCAGACAGTAGATTGTCAGGTGCCGATTATTGTAAAATTATTTATTGTTATCTGCGGTCTGCCTCGAGCTGTCAGCATCTCGTCGACTTTTGCTGACAGTTTGTCCCCGGTCGGACTTCGTCTCAACTACTGGTATGCTGCCTGGCCACCAGGTGGCAGGGAGGTGCGCACTGCGCCGGTGGCACCAAGCTTATGATTCACAATATCGGGGCCTAGTTCCTCAGGTGTTACTTATCGCCATGCCTCAAATTGAAACGCATTCAGCCTGATGGTTTAAGATTGTTACAAGTTGTATCGTTTACTGTTCGGAATTAAATTGATGGCTGCGTTCAGCAACCGCCCCATCACCACAACCGTGCAGATGGGTGGCGCCATCGTAAGAAGCACTGGTTACACGGCGGCCGTGCAGGTGGCGCTGCCATCGAGAAAGGGACTGGCCTAACTGGCGACTGTCGTCGCTCCCATCTGAAGAGGTTAGTTCTCCGCAGATCTAGAGGTCATTTATCCATCAGCAAACTAGGACCTCCCCTTTGTACCCTCGCATCTCTCGCTAAGCTCAAACCACACAGCATTCCTGCTGCCACATTGCACCCTTCCTTGATGGTCCGAGCGGGGCCCGTTACCGTCCACACCGCAGTCAGTCTGAGCACCGTTCCATGCTTCTATCCTCAGGATACTGAAATCCTTCTCCTCCACACCGCCTCCCCCTTCCGGGCTGGACAGGCAACTTTATCTCATGCGGGCTACTCCCTTGGAGCGGCACCGCTGCTCCCGAGGGAGCGCACCCCGTAGCCGGGTGCAGTGAGTGCCTTGGGGCTGGGTGGCCTGTCTTCGGACGGGCTCAGCCCCGGCTACTCACTAGGGTGCCTGCCCAGACCAATGTCTCTCCCTATATCCTATCATCCTCCCGGCTCTGAAATGGTCTCATTGGACCGAAAGGGCCTAACCCAACAAAACCCAAACTCAGTCTGAGCGGCCCGCTGGTCTGGTGGGAGCGCCACCGTCCCGGTTCCCACGGCAGTTCATCTCCGCCGACTGGCTCTCCAGGAGGCGGTCTGCGACTGGAGCACCTTCTGTGGCCCACTTGGAGGCAATGGTAGTGGGCTCTGTCTGCTTGGGGGAGAGGCTGCCATCTGATGACGGGCTAGACGATAGAGTAGGTGGTCACTGGTCAGTGGTCGTAGCCCGCAGACTCGTTCATTCAACTGCTGACGTGCTAACGGGAGGATGCCAGACAGCGCCCGGCAGTCGGACACTGTATCCTGACGCTTTGCTATCACTTATAGTCCTATCTGTTTATTGGAAACGTTATCAGCCGTGGAATGGCGAGTGACGACACCTTCCCGTAATTATGTTTTAATCGGAAATCAGAGCTCTGGTTTACCTGGGCTTACTATCTTTACAGCTGAGATATAGTTTAATTGATACCTTCGCGATGCCGCTGAATGGAGATGATAGGTGTCTTGTCACATTCGTGTAGTGGTTTAAGTAAACAGTGACACGAGGCCACGGTAATCTATATTATGGCCTGAGGTCAGCAGGTGTCTTCCGTGAGTCGTGACCCAGGCTGAGACGGTGCCCATGCTGGGACCTGGGGTCAGCATTCAGAAGTTGCTTAAACTCTATCGAGATATCACCATATTTATACCGTGACCGGGGGCCAGGTCGGCTTACGCTCATGTCGTGACCTGGGGACATGGTGAAGCCGTGAAGCCGTCAGATACGGCCGACCCCCTGTTTTGTTGCCGAGGTACCGTACGGCTTCTGACAGGCTGAGGTGCGTACCGGCCGACCGCGGTCAGGGTCCGACGCCGGAGGGCTTCCTTCAGTGGCACCAGACGGCTTCCCGCAGAGTGCGGTCACGGTTTTTACCTGATCTTACGCTCGTTCTAGGGTCTCACATTACGCAGCCCTCTCCTCGCCTCTCCTCCGAATAAACAAACCATTATACCTCCTACGTTCCTATCTAATCAGACGCCGTTTCCGTTTTCTAGGTCATCCGCATATCAACCTCTCCCATCTCACTGGGCGCGGCTAATTCCTCCGCCCCTCCGACCCTTCCTCACCATCACCGTACCTGTTTGTCTATCACACCCGTCTGCCTCTGGTCTGTTTGTCTGACGGGCTCACTATCACCCGCCCCGCCACCGTCCCCCATTAGGTCGACCCCGATCCCCAAGCGGCCCTCCGTTTGCGCCGTACCCGGGAGACCATTCCGGGCCGGTTCACACCACCCCATGATGGGATAACTACGGAGGTCTCGGAGATGAGAGAAAGCTGCAGTTATAGCACCACCAGCAGCGGTGCTGGCAGGCGAACGTGATGAGCAGTAGAGGCGCTAACTGAGCCGTATTCTGACCAGTTGAGACGGTGCCGGCCGGGCAGAGAATGCACCTGATCTGTTTTTCGCGGCCTGCGGACTGTCGTTGGTATGCATATAGTCTCGTCAGACTCTAGAGCTTCAGTCATCACTGACTCAATACTGTGTTCTGTGCAGCTTTGTGTAGCTGAGCTCCATATTTGGTGATCTGTTGTGTTTAACAAATCAGATGAGCAGCCATAGATGAAATGCTCGTCATTCTGAAGAAAGGCGGCACTTTGTTTGGCCAGGTGTTGGCTGTCAAACGGTTCGCGTTTTTAACAGGACTCTAAAGAAGGCGATGTTCCACTCACGATTTGTGCCTTATTCACGACTTCGTGAATAGGACGAACACGGGAAACTCGGCCAGTTGACAATGCCGATTGTCCCGCACCGTTCCGCTGATATTCTTTGGAGAGAAGTCGCGTCCCATTGTCATGAACTGGACCCAGTGTTGGGGACTGTGGGATTTGGAACAATTCATCTTCGGAGCGAGGAACTTATTGGAAGTTTGGTAGGATAAATGGTTCGAATATCAAATTTGGCGCACGTCATAACTACATAATAAAAACCGCTACTTTTCTCATAATATACTGGCCTGACCCAATTATTGCGTTGGTTACGATTCAATTATTCATTTTGCGTTTATTACCCGTACCTATGTGAACAGTCACGCCCAGCTCGAGGGCCTACCCTGAAGTGGTTTCAGCTCCATACGAATCCGCCCAATGCGTCACACTCGGAGATGAGTGTCAGTGTGCCTTTGGGCCCGTCGGTAATAGTGTGTGCGTGTAAATCACACACCGTGACAAACCCTGGGAGCCGGCGAGCCTGCTGCTCACTACAAACCACTGCAGTGGGCAGTTTGACGGCGAGGCGCCGCTCCGTTACCGCAGGCCGGAGAAAAGCCTGGAAAGCCGCCTCTCGGCCAGTGATGGACGGGACCGAGCTGTGACGAAGCTGTCGTGTCGGAGACGGTCCGGACAGCTCGGCCGAGGGGAACGTCGGAACGCCCACCGGTCATAAAACAAACGGGAACATTGACCGCGTTTATGCTAATGCGGCGGAGAAAACACCCATCCTGAGACGCTTCATCAGTGGACTCCGGACCTTTGTCGCAAGGCGTAATGTATGCAGTTATGGTCGGGGTGCTGTCGATATTACAATTACTGCCGTCCAATGAAGGCATACGACTTTATTGTTTAGGCGTCTAAACGGTCGAACGTCCATCACCTATTGTCTGTTCGGCTTTTGATTCCAGCGTGTCTTACAAATGGCACGGGATGGTGATAAAACACATATTGGTAAGACGTGCCGTTACCGTCGACGTCTCTTGAGCCGAAGTTTGCCGTTTAAAAGCAGCTCTCGCCGTTTGGTCCCACATACCAAACACTGCTGGGTGGAGCGTTGTTTGAGGGAGGCTCCACTATAGACCAATTAACTGCCTGACACAATGGGCTGCTCTACCTATCAGATGAGTTTCGCCTCTATCAGCTGCACTGCTGGTCAGGGGTCGGTAGAGCTGTGTAATGTATGAATACTTGCTGCTGCCCCCATATCCAGGACGCCGTATCCGTGTTGCCTGTGCTATGGGTAGTTTGGGTTTCACTGGAAATGGGGTAAACGGAGCAGCTAGTGTTCTGTGGAATTTATGCACGTCGTTATCCGTGCAGACTCGCTGGG